CCCCGAGCTTCCAATCATCCTCTTGGTGGCTCCCTATTGAATATGAACAGAGAGCCACAGGCCAGCAGACATTTGAGGAAAGCCTCTAAAAGAGACACTCTCCCATCCATATACAGTATTTAAAAATGACCGATGTGGCTCAGTTGGTTGAGTATCGTCCTATGCACTGAGAGGTCACTGGTTTACAGTTTGCCATCTCCTGGTCACTTCCAAGCCCAGCACAAGAAGCAGTCACCTGCAGGTCGCTCTGTAGCTCATGCTGGGTGACCAGGTAGCCAGGTGGCACCAGGCAGGGCACAAGGAGTAGTTGACCTTGGCCTTTACCTCCTAGGAGGCCCTAGAGCCAGCACACCTAGTAGACAGCTTCAGACCATGCCGAAGCACCTCCATAAGCAATACACTCGAGGGGTGGACTTAGTGGGCACCAAGGCCCCACTGAAGCAAGTCCTGCTCCATGGGGTTGGCTCCTCTAAATGGGCATAGCTCATCTTTGTAGTCGATTGGCCTGGGGGTAAATCCCTCCCATTGCCATGCCAACAGCAATCAAAGCTCAACTACAACAGGAGGTACACGTAGCCCGCATGGGGAATGTACCTGGAGTGCCAGCTCAGGTGACCAGGGAGGCTGCACCACTGGACCCTACAGGACACCTAGTACATAAGGCCACTCTACCAAGACCAGACTGGGAGACATAGCAGCTCTAACTATTACACTGAAACAAACACATGGAGGCAGCCAAAATGAGGAGACAAAGAAACATGCCCCAAATGAAAGAATAGAACAAAACTCCAGGGGTAAAAAACACAAAACAAAATGGAAATAAGCAACCTAGCAGATACAGAGTTCAAAACACTGTTTATAAGGATGCTAAATGAACTTAGGGGAAGAGCAGATAAACTTAGAACTTCAACAAAGAGATAGGAAACATAAAAATGGAGATAGAAAACATAAAAAAGAAAAGTGGGAATACAATAACTGAAATGAAGACTACATTACAAGGAATAAACAGTAGAGTAGATGAAGCAGAGGACTGAATCAGTGATTTGGAAGATAAGGAAGCAGAAAACACCCAATTAAAACAGCAAAAAGAAAAAAATCCAAAAAAATGAGGACAGTTTAAGGAACCTCTGGGACAACTTTAAGCAAACCAACATTCTCATCATGGGGAAGATGGAAGGAGAAGAGAGAGAGCAAGAAACTAAAAACCTATTTGAAAAAATAATAATGAAAAACTTCTCTAACTTGGTGGAGGACTAGACATACAAGTCCAGGAAACAGAGAGAGTCCCAAACAAGATGTACCCAAAGAGGCCCACACCAAGACATATAATTAAAATGCCAAAGGTTAGCTTGGCTGGCATGGCTCAGTGGTTGAGCGTCGACCTGTGAACCAGCAGGTCACGGTTTGATTCCCAGTCAGGGCACATGACTGGGTTGTGGGCACAATACCCAGTGGGATGATTCTCTCTCGTCATTGATATTTCTATCTCTTTCTCCCTCTCCCTTCCTCTCTCTGAAATCAATAAAACTTAAAAAAAAAAAAAAAGAACAGTAAAATGTTGACAGCTCTTTAAAAAAAAATGTGAAAGGTTAAATACAAACAATCTTAAAAGCAGCAAGAGAAAAGCAGTTAGCTACAAGGGAGCTCCCATCAGACTTTCAGCTGATTTCTCAACAGAAACTTTGCAGGCCAGAAGGGATTGGCATGAAATATACAAAGTGATGAAAAACAAGGACCTACAACTAAGAGTACTCTATCCAGCAAAGCTATCATTTATAATCAAAGGACAGATAAGGAGCTTCCCAGACAAGAAAAAGTTAAAAAGTTAATCACCACTGCCCGGCCGGACGTGGCTTAGCAGTTGAGTGTTGAGTTGGGGTCCAGGCGACCGGAGTTCGAGTCCCAGTCAGGGCACATGCCCAGGTTGCGGGCTTGATCCCCAGTCAAAGGTGTGCAGGAGGCAGCCGATCAATGACTCTCATCATTGATGTTTCTCTCTCTCTCTCTCTCTCTCTCTCTCTCTCCTTTCCTCTCTCTGAAATCAAAAAAAGTCAATCACCACTAAACCAGTATTACAAGAAATGTTAAAGGGTTTTCTTTAAGACGAAGAAGAAAAATAGATTTACAAATATGAACAATAATGGCAATATACACATATCTATCAACAATTACTTTAAATACAAATGGTTAAATGCTCCAATCAAAAGACATAGGGCCCTGGCTGGTGTGGCTCAGTTGGCTGAGTCTCGTACCACGCACCAAAAGGTTGCCAGTTGGATTTCTGGTCAGGACACATCCCCAGGTTGTGGGTTTGATCCCCAGTCGGGGTGCCTACAAGAGGCAACTGATCAATGTTTCTCTCTCACATCAATGTTTCTCTCTCTCCTCCTCTCCCTCTAAAAAAAAAAATCAATAAAAACATATTTTTAAAAAAGGCATAGGGTGGCTGAATGGATAACAAAACAAGACCTTTCCTTACATATGCTGTTTACGAGACTCACTTCAGACTGCAAGATACACACAGACTGAAAGTAAAGGGATGGAAAAAGATATTTCATGAAAATAAACAACAAAAAGCTGAGGAAGCAATACTTATACCAGACCAAATAGACTTTTTAAAAAGGTTATATAACAAGAGACAAAAAAAGGACCCAACAATTCTGCTTCTGGGTATTTATTTGAAGAAACCTAAAATACTAAATTGAAAAGACATATGCAGCCCTGGTTGGTGTGGCTCAATGGTCAGAGCTTTGGCACCGTGCACCAAAGGGTTGTGGTTTCGATTCCCGGTCAAAGGCAGGTACCTGGTTTGCTGGTTTGATCCCCAGCCAGGTTGGGGGGCATGGGGGAGGTGATTTTTCTCTCTCTCTCTTCCTCCCTCAATCCCTTCCACTCTCTAAAAATGGGGGGAAAATATCCTTGGGTGAGGATTAACAACAATAAAAGACATATGCATCCAGCTGATTGCAGTATTACTTACAATACCCAGATATGGAAGCAACCTAACTGTCCATTAACAGATGAGCCGATAAAGAAGAAATGGTGCATATGTACAACGGAATATGACTCGGCCACAGAAAAGAATGAAATCTTGTCGTCTGCAACAACATGGATGGACCTAGAGGGCACTGTGCTGAGTGAAATAAGCCAGATGAAATAAGTCAGACAAAGAAAGACAAAATACCACATGATTTCACTTATACGTGCAATCTAAAAAACAAAATAAACAAGCAGAGCAGAAACAGATTCATAGATACAGAGAGCATTTTGACAGTTGCCAGACTGAGGGGGGTTAGGGGAATGGATGAAAAAAGTGAAGGGACTAAGTAGATTGGTTGTTACAGAATAGTCATGGGGATGTAAAGAACAGCATCAGGAGTATAGTCAATAATATTGGAATAACTGTGTATGGTGTCAGATGGATACTACATTTATTAGAGTAATCACTTTGTAAGTTATATAAGTGTCTAAGCACTGGGTTATACACCTGAAAGTAATATAGTATGTCAACTATAATTAAAAATTTTTAAATAAAATCTAATATTGAATTTTTAAAATATCATTATCCTCAGAGAGATGAGAGATATTACATTTTTGAAATTTAAAAAAAAAAACTTTTTTCCCCCAAAAAAGAGGATACATGACATCTTCCAGACAGTAAAACAAAATGACAAATGAGTTGGGGGGAGGGGGCTGTGACCAAGGGAGCCTCAGCTTTATGTATAATCTTAATATTTTGCAAGGAGAATGCAGTCACATTGTGTAATTAGAAAACTGAGCACATAGTGGCAATCCCTGTAAAGCCTCTGGCACACAGTAGGTCCCTGGTAGTTTCTCTTCCCTCCAGGAGCTCAGGGCTTGGCAGACAGCTCCAGAGCCTTCCTGACTGGAGGGCTCAGCCAGAGGTCACAAAGTTTGAGCAGCTGATTGGATGGTGGTGGTCTGTATTCCAAGCAGTATTCCCAAGGGCATGCTTCTTTTGTTCCTAACCAGGTCTTGATTTACATGCTGTGTTGAGGGACACACAAGGTCTCTGAAATTACTATTTTGGTCTGGTTTGACTTATGTGGATGGAGCAAGTTCATTAATCTGTGTGGAAATGACCCAGCTCCCTTTCATTCCAACTTCTGTCAGTTGTGTTAGAAGAGGAAAAAAAAAATAAATGAAAACCTTTATTAAGTGTCAACTACATCAGAACACTAGAGGTGCTTGTTAGAAGTGTACTTGGACTCCCTCACACAGCCTTTGAGCTACACCAGCCCGGCTACCTTATTTTTCTTTAGTTCAACTTACCCTTATTTGGACCTTCATTCCACCTGCTTGAAGAAAACATTCTCTTACTCATTTCCAGGTGAGCTCTGTCATCCCACCCCTCCCCTTCTCCTGCCTCCACCATTGATCTAAATTTGGGGTGTTCCTTAACACTACAGTACAAGTGGGGAGGGCTGCTCAGTGAGAGTCCTCTCTCTGAGATAAATTCTCCCAGTCCCTGACTCCATGGGTCACACACACATGCCCTCATTTCTACTCTGCTGCTGCTCCCCCCAGGGTCCAGTAGCAATGGCAACTGCCAGCTTTCCAAGCCACACCCCACAGCTCTGCCTCGCGAAATTTATTTCAGGTTCTGTCCCTTTCATGTCCTGGACTCGGACATGGGTGGAAATGGGGATCACTCCTAAACCAACGTCTAACCTCTTGTCTAGCCCTCCGCTAGCTTCGCCACGGCTAGTGCAGGGAGGGTGTTGGGGCAAGGTTGGAAGGGGCTCTGTTTGTATCTCTGTCCAACCTTCCCTGTCTTAGATCCAGACACTGTGGCTTTTGAACTTAAAAGCTTAGAATTTGGTATTTTTGTTCTCTGGCTAAAGAGTAGAGTATTCTCAAGGCCAAAAAGCAAGAGCTAGGCACCCACAGTGAGATCTGAGGCCAGCACGGAAGCCGCTCCTTTCTTCCTTTTCACATAGGCTGAGCTACCCAACACTGTGTGAGTGCACAAGGATCAGGGAAGTGGCTGCTCCTTGGAGAAGAGGGAGTTAAGAGCATCTTTTCTGAGCTCTGCTGAGTCCCCACACCCAACACACAGGCTTCCTGCTCACTCACTTCCCCCAGACAGCTAGGAAATGACACCTCTGGTGACACAGCCAGTCCCCAGGCTTCTGCTGGGAGGGGGTAGGGTGCTGCGTGGGGGAGGTTCTCACATCTGGAGGCCCTGGGAAGCCTGAGTGGGGGAGGGAAGAAGCTGGCTTTTGTCTGTCTCAGAGGCTAAGGCCACCAGCCTCCCCTTCTCCCCTTCCAGGGATACAATTACCTGTACTAGGGCTCCCCTAAAATGGCCCCTTCTTCATCTTTGAGACTTGCCTTCACCTGCCCCACCGCATAGGCAGTTCACCTGGTCCTATTTTCTCCTGGCTGAGGTGCCAGGCCTGCTAGGAATGAGCTGGGTGGGCCGGTGCAGCTGCTGGGTCTATTTACAGGACCAAAAGAGAGATCAGTCAGGGATGGAAGGGGCATAGATAATCTTCACCATGTTCCAGATCAAGCCATTTAACAAAATACACAGTATTTAGTGTCTACACAGCTAATGTATTTTGGGGTCAGAGACAGGGCTGGAACTGTCCAAAGTCACACACCTATGAGACTCATACACACATAAAGTAGTGTCATTTAACCTGGGTACAACAGGAGCCCCCTTTGTCTATTCTCTTTCCACCAAAACAATAACAACAAAACAAAACAAAAGCCCTGTCCTTTTTGTCCCAGCCCTGCGCCTTAGGAAAAAAGGCTGAGCCCTCCTCTTGAGACCAGAGTAGCTGACTCAACTCTGGGCCAGAGCTAGGTTTTGGCCAGTCCCCAGCCATCAAGTACTTGAAGCAGACCCATTGGTCAGCCTCTACCTTCCTCCGTAGGGTCCTAAGCTTGCCCTACCTCAGTCGGGCGTAGCCTGCCAAGTACCCCTGGTCTGAACTCCAGTTGTGAGCAGGGTTAACTTTCACACCCCCAGTGTCTTGGCTAGGGTGTGGGGGAGAGCCTGCCTCAGGCCCTTTCCTTCAAACCCTCCTACTCAGTATCCAGGATCCCAGGCCGCCTTTGAGACATCCACCTGCGGGGTGACAGGTTGGTTCCCAACTCCACCTCAGCAGCAGAGGGTCCCAGCTATTGGCACTGCCCTGGGGCCCGCACTTGCCCTTTCTGATTTCCCACCCATCCCTTGCCAAGCGCTGAAGGCGGTTCACCAGGAGCTGGGAGCTGGGTACACGGTGCGAACCGGTTTGGAGGCTGGGGGCGGCTGTGCGGCAGGCGGTTCCACCCCGCAGGCCGGCGGTGGGCGTGCAGAGGGCCGGCTGAGGGAGGTGCGGCGACCCGAC